TTGGCAGTTGAAGAGTGAAGAAAAAGAAGTAAATAAACGTCAAGTAAGAAGAAACTATTTATAAGTATGTATATAAATTTTAGTATTCTCACATTCTTCACAAAATATTATAAAAAATGTTATTTACAGTTTTTCTAGTGAAAAGAAGATTGTACAAAGTGAGCCCATGCTACTGGCAGCAATAAAAGAAGAGATAGTTTTTCCATGGGAATTACACAGTCTACATAGATTGCTGAAGAACATGGGCTACAAGTGGAGGAAAAGTAGTAATTTTCGTAAGATACTAATAGAAAGGCCAAATATTGTCACGTGAAGGGGAAAATATTTAAAGGGGATCGACTATTATAGAAGACAAAACAAAAATATTGTATATGTCGACGAAACATGGGTCGACAATTCCCTATGCTTTGGAAAGTGCTGGCAATATGAAATATGTTAGGTGTTTAAAAAAATACCAGCTCTTCTCATCAATATATAATTATTCACGCTGAAGGAGAAAATGGATTCGCGAATGGAGCCGAATTAATTTTTAAAGCTAATAGTACAACAGGAGATTATCATGGACAGATGAATTCAGAAAATTTTGAAAAATGGCTAATACAAAAATTAATGCCTAATTTAATAAGTAATTCCGTCGTTATAATGGATAACGCGCCATACCATTTTTTAGAACTTAACAAAGTCCCAACCAAAAATGCAACGGAAAACCAAATGATCGAATGGCTGTTGACAAATAATGTAACGCACGCAGAAAGTATGCGAAAATTCGAATTGTATGATTTAATAAGCAAAAATAAACCACAAGACAGACAATTTAAAGCTGACGAAATATTAAAATTGCATGGACATAATGTGTTAAGATTGCCCCCATACATGTACGACTTAAACCCGATATAATTAGTATGGGCTCAAATTAAACGTACACTATGGGAGAAAAACATATCAACATTAAGCAACGAGGCATTAAAATCATCACTAAATGATACTATAAACGCAATGACCGAGGAAAATTGAAAGAATTATTATATCATATTAAAAATGTCGAAAAAGTATATTGGGAGAAAGATTCACTAATGGAAGATGTATTAGATACGAGGGCTGTATCATAAGTACCCATGTTTGCCGGCATATGGCACCACTGACGCAAAATTTGTATGCCAACATGTAGTACCATCATTACAACAATGACTGTCAAAATTTCAGACAGATTTATCGCGTAGTTTTGTTTTGACAGCTGTTGAAAGTCATCCAGTTCGTGTTTATTTGCAATCATGGAGAAAGAGCAATACCGATCAGTGATTTGATTTCTTCTTTTGGATAGGAAGACGTATGAGGAAATCAAAGTGAAGTTGCATGTCGTTTTGTAAGGACCATGCACCTTCGATGACTACCATCAGATATTGGTTTAATGAATTCAAGCGAGACCGAACATCCGTTTTTGATGAAGAGCGCCCAGGCCGTCCAATTGAGGTGACTACGGAGGATATGGTTAATAAAATCTGACATCATGCTTCAAAGCTACATATATTATATTTTGCAAAAGTAAAACCGTCATAGATTTATACGTCTTCGAAAATGTCAAGTTTCGTGCCTGAAAACGTGCATTTGTGGCACGCATTACTTTTTTCATTTAACCAAAAGAAAAAAGCCGCTGAAAGTCATCGTTTGCTGGTAGAAACTTATGGTGAGTATACTCTAACCATAAAAACATGTGAAGCGTGGTTTCGAAAATTCAAAAGCAGTGATTTCGATGTGCAAGACAAAGAACGTTCTGGTAGACCGAAAAAGTTTGAAGATGCGAAACTGCAGGAGTTATTGGATGAAGACCCAACCCAAACTCAAAAAAAATTGGTAGAAGCGTTAAATGTGGCCCAAGAAACGATTAGCGACCGATTAGGAGCAATGGGGAAAATTCAAAGGATGGGAAGATGGATGCCACATCAATTGAATGTCAGGCAAATGGAAAATCGAAAAATCGTCTGTGAAATGCTGCTTCAAAGGTATAATCGGAAGTCATTTTTGCATATTCTGAATGTTAATTATTTAACGATAACTTGTGTACGATTAAGTATCAAAATGTCAGCGAATACTTCGGTACAAACTCCAGACTCATTTGGAATAACATTAATCACCTGGCAAAAATGATTTGACATAATGCAAGAAAACAAAGAAAACACAAAGGATTGTTATCCTAATCGCGAAGCGTTCACGATAAACGAAACTAATGCCGAGGTAAACCTGCAAGATTTATTAAACCATACAGCTGTCCGTCTATTATTATATTTACAAAATACATTGAACAATTTAAATAACGACAGCGATATGAAGTCGTTAGAATTAATTAGTAAATGGGGGTGCGATGGGTCCCAACAAACGCAATATAAACAAGGATTTTTAAGAAAAACCGATTCCGATTCACATATATTTCAAAGCTCATTTGTCCCGTTACAATTAATTTCTTCTGTTAGCAAAAAAGTAATTTAGCAAAATCCAACACCATCCTCTCCCCGGTATTGCAGGCCCATACCTATTATGGTACGGACAGTGGTACGATACGCGTACCCAAGTAGCTACCACTTGGGTGGAGACGAAGGTGTTGTTAGTGGCGCAGTTCCGACGGACAATGCCATTCTCCAAGATGCTTCAGGATTTTAGCATACATAACAATTATAATGACCCAATTTATATGCTATCAGTACCATTATCGAAGAAAAGGACTAAACAACGTAGCAATTAAGAAATATTTAGTTATATTAGTATACATTTATTACTTTATGAGATGGTATATAGTTTTTACGGTTTTTTCTTCTCTATTATTGCAGGAAGAATTTATAATAATGCATGAAGACATGGGAACAGCTATTTTAAACAAATTAGAGGTCTTCGATGGTAGCGAATCCCCACTAAATAGAATGGGGATGATCTAATTAACGATACAACACACGTAGCAGGGAGACGTAATTGGAAATGGAATAGAGGGACCTGTAAAGCCCCAACAAATTATTATTATTACTATAGAAAGTCTTAGTGGGAAAAAAAAATTAATAGTGTAAATGTTTTTTGCTCTTCTAATATATATTAGTAGAATTTATGACCTAGATATAAGTTGATTATATATATAATTATAACAATTTAGAGACCTGTGGTCCAGATGTTTTTGAATTATATAACGACTGTATTTTAAGATTAGATCTTTGTAAATAGATATAAAAAATAGACGAACCCGAACTAGTGGTGGAGACACAACTAGAGGG